TTTCATTTCTTTTGTTCTTATTTTATTTTATTTCCTATTTAATTATTGATAATGAATCGTGTAAAACAATTTGTTGTACATATTTCAATAATCTCAATAGATGACCCTGAGAAAAGTGGAAAACTGATACATTTTTTGTTTTCTACCATTCTATTAATTTTATTTAATTTTATTTCAGCATTCAGGAGAATATGAAATTTTATATTCATAGCAAAGAAAAAATTAGTATGAAGACATCAGATGAAAAACTAGTATGAACATGAATTATCTTTTTATACATAGGATTTTATTGAAGTTACAAAAAATTAAATGTCTTCTTAATGCATTGCATTTTTTTTAAACATATTGTATTATTAGACATTTGAGAACTTGAAAACTTTACTGCATTGTGCTATTTAATTCCATTGCTCACTTTATTAAGAAAATTTTTAGTTTTAATTTACTTTAGTCTAAAAATTTCTCTTTATTAAAAAAAAATGTTTTAACATACTTAGATTTACTTATTTTGCCTTTTAAAAATATCTCATTAACCAACAACATTAACAAAAGTTTTGAAATTAGCCATGTGTCGTTCGCGAACGAACTAATTTTAAAGGACGAACCACTTCATTGAACTTAGCTAATTAGTTCACTTCTTCAGAAATGAATAGTTCATCGTTCTCCAATTCTCTTTTTAGTTATTAAAAAAAATCACTGCACATATATATGTATGTATGTATATATATTTTATTTACAATTGGTAATTGATATACATTTATATTTTTCTTTAATTCTTTCTGTAATAATATTACACAATAGAAATAAAATTGAACGACATACTAAATAACGCATAAGCAATACTTATAGAAATGAACGACATACTCCAATGTAGAATATTGATAAAAGCGAATGAGAAGTAAAATGAATGAATTACTATACACACAAAAGTGATGGAATCATTTGCCAATATAAATACAAAAATATGATGTGGCAGCACATAACCGACCGCATTGTGTATTGTCTAGTTAAGTGAAAGTGTTACGGAATATTATAAAAATTGTCTGTTAAATACTTCTTTCCAATTTTTATGACATTAGCAAGCTTATAGTTAACATACCTAGAAAAATGCTCTTAGTAGAGTTTGGATTTGTTCCACCGGAATTTCCTGAAATGCTCGCCAGCTATTTTCAGTAGCAACCAGAACTTAAATATCAAATTTCAAGAAATTCCATAAATTTGTTCCGTAGATATGGGTATATGTTACGTAGATACACCTGATTTCTTCCAAAAGGTGAAGGAAGTTTCGCGGACGATCGAGCAAAGCTTATATATAAAATTTCAAGTAAATCGGTTGAATACTTTCTTCAAAATGTTCAAAAATGTAAAACAGGTCCGCTAAAAAGTGCTGTTCCCGAGGCCTGATATATCCCAAAAGTTGATCAATCCGTGCCATGGTGGAAATAAACTTACATATAAAATTTCATTAAAATCGGTTTAGAAGAACTTGAGATACACGCGTACACACACAGACCGACAGAACGACGGACCGACAGGTTGCTAAAAATAGTTTACTTACACTTCCCTACTATGGAGAAGTGCATTCCCACCGAAAACTCGATATGCAAAATTTGTTGCCATCACATGACCTACCTATTGTTTACACAATACGGTCGGTAAAAAGGAATCATTGGGCTACGCTACAATATGTTTTATATTTATGCATAAAATATTTAAGAAAGGATAATAATTATAGTGGCTTTTTACCTAAATATTTTAAATAAAAGAAAAAACTAAGTTTTTTCTTTTATTATAATATTTTAAATAAAAAAAAATAATAATAGGATTAAAATAAAAGGTCAAAGTACATAAATTAAACAAAAGTTTAAAAAAATTAGAATAGGATTTCAGGTTTTTACGAGGATTAAAAATAATGATAATTATAATTATTTTTATTTTATAAATTTCTTATAAGAAGTAATAAATTCAAACTGTAATGATTTTTCTTCAAATTTAAATTCTTATAATTTACAGTTATAAGACAGTTTTACACACGGCTGACTGAAATACAGGCCTGGATCCTAAGATAGAGTGACAATTCATAGCTGATGAATTTGCATATGTATTCTTATGGGACCTATAGAGGGCCCTTTTTAACATCATAAATCTTCCACAAGATCAACTTTTTTCAAATTTTTAATAAGAAAAAGTTAAAATTCAATCTTTTTCTACTTTGCTAATGCTTATATTGTTAAAGTTTTGTATTATTAAAACATTAAAAAATTGATTTAAAAAAACATTCCAGGTTTTTTTCTTCAAAGTATTTAGCTCATTTTGGTGTATTTTTTCAAATTTGAGAAAATGCACATTTGAAATTAACAAGTTTGCTAATTTTGTATGATATGTCTCCCAAAATGCATACTTCTATAACTATATAATTTTAATGCGTATACTTTATTAATTAAATTTATATGCTTCATAATTCATAAAAATTATTGCATATGTGAATTCTTGTTATATTATAAGTCCATATAATTCTTTCTAGGTATATACACATGCGATTTTAGTTTTATTAGGACATATTTTCACTTCGTTAGTAAGGCTAATTCACTAATTTACACTACAGCATCAGTAACTTTAAAACTTACACAAATTTTTTTATATTTTTATTATGTTCGTTTTTATATAGGGGACAACTTGAGAAGACGCATTTTTTATAAGGATTATAAAATTTTAAAAGCCCTATCATAACTAAAAAACTTAAAATCAAATAATTACAAACTTATATTCTAAATTTAAATGTAATAAATTTATTTTTAAAATTGAATTTTTTTTAAAATTCAGTGTATTACCATTCTTTACTCAAAAAAAAGAAAATATATTTAATCAAAATTATAGTTTAAAGTTTGAGTCGAAATTGGAATTTTTTATATGTTGTTCAGAAAAGTCCAAATTTCATTTTAATATAAAAATTTTTAGGTTTTAGTTACTCTTTTGTATAGAAAACTCGAAACGAAAATCAGCAAAAATCATAATTTTACCAAAAAGAAGAACAAAAAAAAGAGTCTTCAGAAATGTCATTTCGCCAAAAATACACATGCAATTTTACAAATACATTCCCAAAAACACAGAGTCCCGGCCTTGATTTTTTGTAATGTCAAGGTTTTACAGTAAAAGTTCTAAATTTTTTTCTACGTTTTAAGTTTTTGTGGTTTAAAACTTATTACATATTCTTTTCTTTAAAATTTACCATAAATACGAATAGCCATTATAACAAAAAAACATGCAAATATATATATACAGAAGAGAAGTGAACGAAATGAACGATTGAATGAGAATTTGTAATCGGTCAGTGAAAAAAAGTAGTTCGTTCAGAACGAATCACTGAAATGAACGATATTGCCCATGACCAACTAAAACAAACTAAAATAAAACGTGCATCTAAATGTCGCAGACACAATGTCAAATGAATTCTGAACATAACATCATTAAATTTTTTTGTTGACATTTCAGAAGATGCAGTCATATTAAAACTCAGTGAGAAAATAGCTAAAACATTACTTAGGCCCAGTTTGACAAATAGCACTACAGATTGGGCGAGCTTCAAATACAAAATAATAAACAATATTGACGTAAATATTAATATACAATCAAGAGAACAATTAGATCTGGAGTTAGAAGGATTTATTAAAATCATATAAAAAGCTGTATGGAACAATACAAAAATGTCAAAGTACAAAACGACAGCAAACAGCTATCCTGGAGAAATAACTGATTTAGTAGGTGAAAAGAGAAGGGCCAGACGTAGATGGCAACGTTCGCGTCACCCTGATGATAAAATTGTTTTAAACGGACTTCCCCAGGGACTTAAAAGAAAAATCCAAGAATTTAAATGGGCATCATACGAAAATTATTTACGTATAGTGCCCATTTAAATTCCAATATTGTACCTGCTGAAGATACTGCAATATTGGCAGTAGGAGCGAACATTGACGATTCGACAAAAAAATGCAGGAGGCAAGTAACAAAATAAGACAGTGGACTAGGGATTGGAAAATGAAGTGACTTTAGATGTCAAGCTAAGGTGGAAAGAGCATATAAAGAAGAAAAACATAGAATTAGAAAATAAATATAGAGAAAATTACTGGCTCCTAGGTCGTAAGTCCACTTTGGCAATTGATAATAAGATATTAATTTATAGTCAAATCATTAAACCAATATGTCTATGTGGGGTTGTGCCAAGAAGACTCACATTAACAAAATTCAAACCTTCCAGAATAAACTTTTACGAGGCATGGTAAATGCGCAATGGTATATACGTCACAGTGATATCAACAGGTACTTAGAATTCCTTTGGTTGTGGATGAAATTAGGAGTTGTGCTACAAAGCATAGGGCTCGTCCAGAACAGCATGTAAATATGGAAGCAACTCGGCTGCTAGATAATGGCGTTATGACAGAAAGACTTAAACGAACAAGACCATTTGATTTAACACGAAATACCAATTTCCTTATGGAAGGTATTTAATTCCTGTAATGAAAAACCAAGTTAGCGCGGGGGCAATAGTTGGTCTGTAGGACCAGTTTTATCCGTTGAGAATTTAGGTGATTTTTTAGGGTAGCAGTCACGCTCCCCGACGAATGTTTTTGCATGAAAAGTGTCTGGGATAATACTTTTTTAACAAAATTTTTGGTTTTTCGTATAACCAAAAAATATTTATTTGTTTTTGATAAATACTTTGAAGTTTAACGTTTATCACATATTTATAAAGTTTTTAAAAGTTTTTCATGTTTTTCGTCTGGTTTATTTGTTTTTTAAATGAGAAGTTTTTTTTTTTTTTGCAAGAAATTGTGTCATTGTTTCTCTTTTTGTTTTTTCAATTTTAATCCCAGACCTAATATCATAATATTTCTATCATAATCTAATTTCGAAGATAAACATAGTTTCTGATACTATGTAAACTTTTTCATGATATATTCGTATAAATTGTGTTTTCGGTATTTCGTATAAATTTTAATACTTACATTTAGATAATAAGGATTTATCTTGTGAGTGACAGCATTTCTGCGCAAGGGAATGAAATAATATATGAGCTGTATTATAACGCTCAAAGCAGCTTTTGGTATTTCCGAAAAGTTCATCTACAGCAGCGGATTGACACTAAAATAGAAAAAATATTGCAAAAACATTAAGCTGGGATTATACTATAGATTTTCTTACCATATCAATAGCATAATTATACAAAATTTTATCAGCATTTAGTGCATTTGCTTTTTGAAGCAAACCAGTACCATTTAACCTTTTAGATTCGTAGAGTATAGTTCTATATTTTGAATTCATAGTTAACAATGCTAAAATTTGAAACTTCATGTTTTATTTTTATCTAACAAAAATGCAAACACTGCCCTGGTAAGTATAAGGCGAACGGCATTAAAAAAATTTTCCGAACTGCTTCAATCGGGTCAACTTCAATATACTTCGTATGTTTTTCCTTAATTTATTTTCTATTGAAATTATTTTTTTAGTTTGAAAAAAACCATTGAAGAGTTATATATTTTTATTTTTATTCGTATACTATAAGAGAAAAGAAAAATTAAAGCCATTTAATTGCTCCTCTTATAACTAAAATCTTAAAAATAATTTTTTCATAATTATGTTGGAGATTTATTGGCTAAATGATATTAGGTAGATGTGTGCATATTTCTATTGAAATGCTTTAGAAATCTAGACATACTATGATTTCGAACGTAATTTTCTTATCAAACATCCTACTTTGACAGACCTTTGTTTTGATTTGTCGAAGATATTTTGTATTGATTCTAAGTTAGCAATAATTATTTAAAATATCCAATATTTTGTTTAAAATTTATCTATTAAAATTTATTCTTACATATTTATCTTTCATAATTTAATTCAGTACCCCTTTAAATGGCAATGCGGAAGGTCTGCATCGATTAATATTAATTTCCTATAAATTTTAGGTAATACATATATTTTTAATAAAATTTATTTTGAATGAAAACTTCCTTCTTTTAGCAATTTTTTTTGCAAACATCAAAATAAAACTGCAAAATTTATTTATATATAAATATTTTTAGGTATAGATTTAAATCACTTTAAACATAAAGGGACGGTGATATTTTTTTTTCTTCATATAAATTTTATACATTTTTTTTTAAATCATAAAAGGAAAATGAAAGTTGCTTTCTCTCAATGCGATGGCCTTACACTTACCAGGGAAGTGGTGTAAAAATTACCATTTTTGACATTTGCTGAGGGTTTTAAATTTCCATTTCTAAGTTGTTGTGACGCCAAATTTAGTCCTGATGATAATAACTGTAATGCTCTAACATGGCAAAATAATAAAAAAATCTACATAGTCAACACCTATGAAAAATTTATTAGTTATACCTGACTAACAAAACTAAACGTTCAGCCCTTTTGCAGTGCTCTGGAGTATGTGGTGGAATTTGTTGAGAATCGGTTGCATTATTAACCTCTGCAGACATTAATGCTGATAATGGAGCACATCTTGAATCGGCAACCTCTTGTATACAATCAGATAATGCTAATACAAAATTTAATTTTGAAAGGGTCTCATTATGCTCTCGACCCATTAAAGTTTCTTCGCACAATTCCGGAGCATGAAATGGTATTGCTTTCGTGGCACTTCCTCCATCACTCGTTTCTAGCAAGTTATGTAGTCCACCGATAGCTCCGAGTTCAGGTAAAGTTATAGCTCTGGGTCCTAATAAATGAGGATGCTGAAGATTTGAGTTATTGTTTTCACCTAATAAGAGAGTAGGGCTTCCTAGAGTCGGAAGCTTTGTGAGTGTCGTTGGTAGAACTGGCGAACTATTATTAGAACGTCGCAGAGGAGATTGCTGAGCGTTTGGACTAGTTTGCCATATGGAAGGGGCTGTTGGAGGAGTTTCGGAAAGTGATCCACCTGAAATTGAACGTCGTCTATTACTAATGACACCCGTGCCCCCAATTGGAGGTGTGCCGATAGCGAATTGAACAGAAGGTGGTGATATTGAATTGATATCGCTTCCGTTACTGTTATGATGTTCTGAGCGCTTGTTAACACTTATTGGTTGCGACCTAGGTACATTTGCTGATGATTTTGGTGATGAATTTGAAACATCCATGGAGTTTTTGCTGTTATCTGTATATGTGGTTATTGCATTTGACAATCTTCTATGTTGCGTTGGAACAGGTTTTGGTTCTGAAATTGGCAAAGAACTGGGTCTTGGTGGACTTGATTGTGAGTCATGCGTTTTGCGTCCATAGTTTCTTTCATACTCAACATTGGGTTTATCTTCTGGTATATTATTTGGAACTAAAACAAAATCATCAGAATCTTCAGGACTACTAAGGTCGCTATTTCTTTCACTTTCGCATAAAATTCCAGTGTTCGTTAATGTGTTTGTATTAAGGTTATCGATTGGATCTAAGTTCTCTGGCATCCGTGGTATAGGACTTGTTGCATTTGGTGGGGATATGTGCTGCATTGAAGGCACCATATCAGCTACAATATATTTTCCAATTAAACATATTTACAAAATATTCATACAAAAAATATGCAGTAAAGTTTTTTAAACATACCAGGTGACTGAGGTGTTTTTGGTCTTTGCAAAAACTTATGATTAAAAAAGCATTCAAAAGAGATTCTATCCTTAGCGTTCCTTCGTAATAAACCAAGAAGCAAATCACTTAATTCTGGGGAAATTCCAAGCGGCAACCTAAATTTTTAAAAACAACTGTATTTCCAAACTTCAATGTAAAAAAAATTTTTTCTTCATTACTTTGGTGCTAAATTAGAATTTTGTTCATAATAAAACTTTAGTTCATTAGGTGTCTGAGCGTGAAAAGGTGCTTTACCAGTCAAACATTGGTAAACAATAGTGCCAAGTGACCATAAATCGGCTTTTGCATCGTATTGCAAAGACATAATAACTTCAGGAGCCTAATAAAATTCAATAATATTTTCATAAATTTTTAAAATTAGTGAATATAATATGCATTTATTTTTACCATATACATTGGCGAGCCACACAACGTTGCTGCCATAACACCATCATGAAGAAATCTGGCAAATCCAAAATCCGCAATTTTTAAAGTTATTTTTGAAGGAGGCGGTAGTATTTTCCCATGGCTGTAGGACAACAAAATGTTTTGTGGCTTTAAGTCCCTGTGAACAATTCCTTTTGTGTACAACGCCTTCATAGCACCAGCTTCAAAAAATTTCATTAAGCTTTATTTGCATATTATGGTAAATTTAAATACCTAATTGTATCAGGAATAAACGAACAGTATCTTCACTAAGCGTTCCTTGTAACCCGAGGTAATCAGCCAGATCTCCACCATTACAATACTAAAAATATAAAAATTCAGAAATTTTAATTAAATTTTAGCGTCTAAGCCTTTAAAATAATAACTACATAATATACATATGTACATATCACGGCTGACAGAAATACAGGCCTGGACCCTTAGAGAATGACAATTCACAGCTGACGAATTTACACGTATTCTTATGGGATTTATAGAGGGCCCTTTTTAACATCATAAATCTCCAACAAGATCAACTTTTTTAAAATTTTTAATTAGAAAAAGTTAAAACTCAAACTTTTTCTACTTTACTAGGGCTTACATTCTTAAAGCTTTGTGTTATTAAAACATCAAAAAATTGATTTAAAGGAAATCTTCCAGTTTCCTTCTATTTTTTTAAGATTTCAATAAGTGCTACACTACAGGAAAAAAAAAATAGTGCAATTTTTTTTTCCAAGTATTTAGTTGATTTTGGTTTATTTTTTCAAATTTGAGAAAAGGTACATTTGATATTAACGAGTTTGCTAATTTTGTATGATATATCTCCGAAAATGCATACTTCTGATATAATCACAAATATATCTATATATTTTTGATGTGTATACTTTATTAATAAAACTTATATACTTCATAACTCATAAACATTATTTCATATGCGAATTATTAACCCTTTGCACTCGTATTTTTGTCTGAGAAGAGTATCTACGAACTCGGAATTTTTTCTCATAATCGATTAGGATAAAATTATTTTTATGAGAACATATTACTTTTCAACTTTAAGGTTTGATGGTTCAAATCTCAAAATACAAAATTTTCATCCCTGTTTACAACCCCTTGAACAGGAACAATGAAAACCAAATATTTAGTATTTAAATATTTATTTTACGTTATAAAAATATAACGTAAAAAATAATAACTTATAAAGTAATAATACTATAACCATCTAAGGTGGTATTCGGTATGGTACTAAACCAAATTTTTAACGCAAAAAAGAACGACTAAAGATATATCCACTTTCTGACATATTTATATCTACAAAAGATATTTCTGCTAATGCGGTGATAAAAGATCGAGAGATACGGATGTTGTACGAGAGAGATGTTGCTTGTATGGGGACATACGAGCGTAACGGTAAAACGACATCCACTATACGGGGACATACAAGTGCAAAGGATTTATATAAAAAATAATATTAATATAAAAGTCCACATAATTCTTTTTAAGTATGTATGTGATTATAGCTTTATAAGGAAATATTTGTACATTCTTAGTAAGGCTAAATCACTAATTTACCTAAACTACCGTATCAGGAACTTTAAATCTTATACAAGTTTCTTAATAATATTTTGATTATGTTGGTTTTTATATAGGACACAGCTCGAAACGACGCATTTTTTTTAATGATTATAAAATTTTAAAAGCACTATCATAATTATAAAACTTAAAATCAAATAATTACAAACTCATATTCTTAATTTAAATCTAATAAAATTTTTATTAACTTTATTTTACGTCGTGTATTCTAGACCAAAAAAAATAGCACCAATTTTTTTTTATTCACTGTGTTATAATTTTTTACTCTCAATTCTCCCACATATGTATGTTGTCTGACATGTCGGTACAAAATAATGCGGAAAAAACTCGAAAATATATTAAATCAAAATTATAGATAAATTTTAAGTTGAAATTCGAAATTTTGATATGTTGTTCAAAAAACTTCAAATTTCATGTAAGTACAAAAATTTTTAGGTTTTAGTCAACTTTTCGTATAGAAAACTCGAAATGAAAATAGGTAAAAATCATAATTTTTCTAAAAAAAACAAAAAAAAAATATTCTTCAGAAATGTCATTTCCCCAGAAATACATACATATGCAATTTTACAAATACATTCACATAAAAAGCAGGGTCCAGGTCTTGATTTTATGTAATGTTTCTCAAAAGTAGTTTCATATAAAATTTTGTGAAACGGATTCAATATTAATACTGACACTTTTCGATTATATTCTTAGTTGTAAAATACCGAAAAACTACTTGAAAAAAATCTACGATTCATACCAAGTTTTTATTTTTTTACGTAGTTAAGCAACTACGAGGGTCACTATTTATATTTCGGGTCTAGCAATGAAAAACAAACATTTATCATTGGAAATGGTTTTATTGTTTTTCAAAATATTCCCCATGAAGATCAATACACTTTTGCATGCGCTGAAACCAATTTTCGTAGCACTTTTTCCACTCCGATTGAGACACCTCCAAAACATGGTTTTTGAACGCATCGACTGCTTCTTCAGGTGTTGAAAATCGTTGTCCACGCATTTTTTTTTTGATGTGAGGGAATAAGAAGAAGTCATTGGGTGCTAAATCAGGACTGTACGGCGGATGACCCATCAATTCGACATTTTGAGTGCTCCAATAGTCCATTGTTTCAGCTGATTTGTATATTTTTACTCGTATATTTTTGTTAGAAATGTAACAAGTTTTTTCGTATTTTTTCGGTTAAATTTATGTTGTGAGGGAAACAAAGCAGTGAGAAAAGTTTCACGATTTTTGAATTAATAACAGAACTTTTTGTGAAACTTGGAATAAAAAAGTTTAAATCAGAGCCAACAATGAAATTAGACCATAAATAAGGTTTCACTTACAAAGTGAAGCTTTTTAGTTTGGATCTTTTTACTTAAACTTGTCCTTTTTTTTTATATTTACCCATTCAACTTTCCAAGAGTGGCAACCATGAAAACATTATAGCTGTTTAAATTATAATTTTAATATAAATATTCGCCAACCAATTAGTTATCTAAATTATTTAGAATTAAAGTCGCTCATACAGCGAAACATAGATAGAAAACAACTAAATTTACTAAACCGCCACTTAACTAATTTTATTTAATAATGTTTATAGAATTTTATTGATGTTTTTCTACATTTTTATGGGAATTTTTTTAATTGGATTTTTTTTGGTGTGTAAATATACATATGTTGTGTAGACAGAAGGTTATTTAAACAAAAGTAGATAAATGTTTAACCGTTTAGTATTAACGAATTCTTGTATGAAATAATCGTGTACACTAAACAGCTCAAAATTTAAGATATAACACACAGAAAAAAAAACAAAAAATTTTGTGTATGCGTTTTTGTGTAGTGACCTGTTCTAAGCCTCCTGCAAGTTCCAATATGTCCGCGCAGCTCAGACTACCTGTTCAAATGCCAAAACTAGCACAAATTACATCACACCTTAGACCAACCAGCCGCTAGATCTTCCTTCAACTTTGCAGCTCGATGTTCCAACCTATTCTTTTCAAAATTTCCGGGGACCACAACAGTAAGTATCCATAGATTGTTATTAAAAAGTACTCCAAGTAGCTTAAAATACCAACCCAAATATTTGTCCTTCTTCCTTAGCTGATGTCATAATTGGTCATAAGTTTTTTCATTTAGGTGCAGTTATTCAGTATTTTAGGGATTCCGATTCAATCAGGAATCATGTTAGCTTTGCGAATGCTAACGTTTCAAAGCATTTTAAACTTAAGTCAATATTTACTAACCAACTTAGTAATAAGAGGCACAAGAAACAGTTCATATTAAAAATACTAACAATATGGACAACTCAGCACACATTGATTCGTCTCGCATAGACAAGCATAGTAGGCAGATACTTTCCCGTTACAAAAAGTATAACAATTCTACTATTAAATTGAACAATAACAATAATAAAAAGAATAAACTATTTTAATAACAATAATGGAAATAGTAAAAACATATATAACAATTATAAAATAATTATAATAATAATAAAAATAGTAATAATAATAATAATAAAAATAATAATAAGAATAAGAATAATAATAATAATAATAATAATAATAATAATAATAATAATAATAATAATAATAATAATAATAATAATAATAATAATAATAATAATAATAATAATAATAAAAATAAAGATTTATTGCTATCATCTTTATTTTTATTATTATCATTTTTATTACAATGACAAAACCAACATTAGTGGTAACAATAAGAATAACTTTAATTATTATAACTATAATTATTATAATTATAACAACAGTAATAATAATAACAATAAAAATAATAATAATAATAGAAATAGTAATAATAATAATAATAATAACATTAATAATAACAATAATAATAATAATAATAATAAATTTTATATTAAAATTGGAATATATGTAGAGCATATGTTAGTTATGATTTAAGAAGATGTTTTAAATGTTTAGGCTTCAATCACAAAACTATGGATTGTTCTGAGAATGAAAAGAGTTGCATAAAATGTGCCGATAAACAGTTGGCAGAAAAATGCACTGCAGAAAATATCAGTGGTATGTTTAAGAGCAAATAATTCGTTAAATTTAAAATTGAATGTTGAACATAGTGTTTTTGACAAGGAATGTCCTTCCTTGCTATTGAATAGCGTAAAAATTTTCAGTGGAGTTGTGTTGTAACAACGCAGATATAAGAATGATTTATTTGAATATACAAGGGTTAACCGATAATTTGTCTGTTTTGGAGTACTTAAATAGTCTTCATTATTTTGATGTATTTTTACTCAGTGAAACTCACGTAACGGAAGATATTCAGATGAATAAGATTTCATTGAATGGATATGAGTAGGTATCGGGTATCTTTGTGCTGGGAAAAAATCAGCCCATATCGCACGCCCTACTTTCACTTTCTTATTTCCTGGTATAGGTAGATGACCTGTTAAAGTGTGTCATGACCTGTATAACGGGTCGTTTATTTCCTGGTATAGGTAGATGACTTGTTTAAGTGTGTCATGACCCATGTACATATGAATGTACAAAGCTGAGGTGGCCGCCAGGTCAATGAACTATAAAGTAGGTCAAAGGTTGCAAAGCAAGTTGTTTACTTGTCCGAGTTCAGCGTACTTGAGACTTTGCATGATTTGTTTACATGTGAGTTTCCTTTGCCGGAGTTGTCCAGCAGATAAGGAAATTTAAATTAAATATTTTAAAAATAGTATTAGGTAATCACAAATATCAGAAAGTACGTATTTTTAA